GTGAGTATTATTATCGGGGTGGGTATTTCGGGTTATTGTATCTTATTGAGCTCGTCGCTCATTGGCATTCCCGTTGTCCTGACATTTTATGTCAGGTACCAAAGAAACTGAAGGAAAAAACCGAGGTCTTGGAAGGCGACATTCAGCCTTGATTAGCTTGAAGTGTGCCCATGTCCCATGAACTATTTTTTTGAGTTTTCTAGTTTTTCTTTAGGTTTCTTTTTTATATTTGTGTTTTTCTTTCATGAATGTAGTAAGACTAAGTTTTAAGTTTGATTGGAGTTGTAATTTAAGAACTTTTGGTAGCGTTTGGTAGAGTTTTCTAAATATGATTTGAGAATAGAGTTGTATTTTGAGTTTGTGAGTTTTGGAATTATGATTTGAGTGTGGAAATTTTATTTGGTGAATGAGTTTTGAATTGAGTGGGAAATTTTTGATGTGACGTGTGATATTTGATACAAAAACTTACAACTTATAACCAAACACACAACTCAAATCAAAATTATATTCAAAACTTATAAAAAAATTTAAAAAATTCCAAATTTTTTTTTATTTAAAATATAAAAAATACCAAGTGCCAATTGTTAAAAAAAAATAAAAAAAATAACACTATTCTGGTCAACCGACCAGGCGTCCGGGAGGACGACTGGTTAGCCCAAATTTTCTCACGTTGGAAAGAGTTTTCAAAAGTGAATGTGGAATTAATTTTTGAAAATTGTAAACAAACAACACACTCCAAATAATGGGTAGAAATGTGTTTGGAGAGCTTCTCCAAACACAGCCTTTAATTTCTATTTTTGTTAATTAATGGAAGATGACAAACTTGGTGGTAACAATGATTAGAAATTCTTAATTAAGAAAATTGATTTTAAGTTTTAAACCTTATTATGATGTCCGCAAATTTTGGGGCGTCACAAAAGACCTCCATTAAATCTCCATTGAAGAGCATTGTAAATCCTCCAAAATAGTGTTGAATGTAAGAAATCTTTCCATTTTCTTATTATATTTATTATTGCACTTATAATTTTCAAATCTATGTGCACTCTATTGGCATAAAAGATAGGTTATTTCGGTCTATGTGCTCTCTTTTTTTGAAGCAAGCACCTCCCTCAGTGTTGCTACCCATTCAAAATCAGAGCATCACAAATCCATTGTTTGTTGCAGAGACCAAATTAGATATTAGATTTCAAGAGGGAGACACTCGAGTTCAGACTACCTTGCCCTAAAAAAAAAAAAAAAAAAAAAAAATAAAGCATCCTAGTTGCTAGTCAAATTGGTTTAAACTAGTTTTTCCTACCTTCTAACTTCCAATAATAAGACAAATATTAATAAGAATAAAAATAACAATTGACAGAAGTTCATTGCCAAGACCCATCGGTCTTAATGGAAAAATTATGATTTAATTTTTTTAAGTCAAAAGGCCTACATTGAGATTTTCTTATTCTTAAAAGATATGTACAAGAAATTTTTCTATATAATATTATAAGTATTGTTGGATGTCTATTATAGTCATTTTTATTTAAAATATAATTGTCATTAAATGTATACATTGAGCTAATTAAATTTTTCCTCTTACGATTCAAAAGAAATAGATAGTAACCTCTCAATTGTGATGAAAATCTAAGAAATAAATACAAAATAAAAATGGTATGACAGATTTTGTGTTTGTTCGTTTGTACCTTGCAGTAGGCTACCTAAGATCTACATTGGGAATGTATTGGATGATGGGCCAATATTCTTCTCCCTTTTCACACTTCTGTTTCAGTATTGGATTACATCGCCCGATGTCCAGTGACAAAAGCGAGGGAGGCAATCCTTGTTCTGGAAAGGTCGCAAGCTCAGGGCAGTTATAGATCGATAGAAGCAAAAGAGAGGGAGGCAACCCTTCCTTTGGAAAGGACGCGAGCCTAGGGCAACCCCAGATTTCAAGTGTTTGGAGAGAGGTGAGGTTTTGAAACTCCTCATAAGAGAGTCTTTCCAGATTTGGGAACTGGAGGATGGTCAAATTGAGAAGAGAGGTGGGCAGGAACATCCCTTCTTCTGGAAAGGACACCGTATCTCTCCACGGCCAATCTCGGCCTTGAAGTTGGAGTGTTGTAAGAGAAGAGAGTTTGTACAAACCCCACTTTAACGGAAGTGGAAGTTGACCGACGTCGTCCCCTCTCAAATTCCCGATTTCAAGTGAAGTGATGTTGGTGGGGAAACTCCCTTCCATTCCCGTTGCCCTGGCATTTTATGTCCGGTACCAAAGAAACTGAAGGAAACACCGAGGTCTTGGAAGGCGACATTCAGC